TGACGAGACGCTTCAGGAATACATGCAGCAATTCATATCTGGAAAGGAGTCTATGACTGCGCTGATTTGGCATTCGCCAGATTTGAAGGTGATGTTTGCGAAGCATGTTGCTAGGCTCAAAAGTGGACATGTTTTAACACACATGCCGCAAGTGTGGCCATAGTGTCTCGTCGCGCTAAGGTTCGGCACATGGACGCCGAATTTCTGCGTCACAGTGGCATGAGAGACTTGCAGTCGGCCAAGCATCGTCATTCTTCTCTGCAGAAGCCGATGGGGCGATTTATCCTTCTTGCGAATCCGTTCTTGGCCACAGCTCACGAGAGACTTAGTAGGCATCAGGCTTGCTTGAGTATGTCGCCATTTCAAAGAAAAACTGTGTTGCAAATCTAAGGATATTGCGAGTAAAGACCAACGCGAAACCCCGAAGGGTTGCCAAGAAGTTCCTGGAGTCTATATCCACAGAGGTGTACCTGCAAATGGCTATGATGGCTGACGCTGCTGATGAGGAGATCAGAATTTTACGCAGATTTGACAAGAGCCAGATGGACATGAGTGCAGCGCAAACCTGCTTGACAACCTTTGCTCAAAGGCTGCATGTGCTCTTCGTGCAGAAAACAGCCACCTCCAGTGGTTACACACAGCACGCTTCTAGACAGCACTGAGTCGCGAAGCCCGTGATAAGTTTTCAGAGCTTCAAAGACTTGATCTGACTGCCAGGTGCTGAAGTGGCTGGAAAGACCTCGTTTGATTCAACTGGGCGCTGGGCACAGGAGTGTGGGAGGCAGCGTTTCGCCGATCGTTTTCAACAGGTGCTTTGCAAGGATGGCTGCATGGCTCGCCCTTGTCTCGCAGACCATCAAGACAGAGTTTCCTGAATTTGAACTGATCCACAACTTGTCAGCCTTTTCGCTCAGCGGCCCCCAAAAGAGCGCTGCGGAAACACAGCGCTGTCTTCTGCGGCTCTCCCAGATGTTCGACGCGAACTCTAAGCAGCTCTATGAACAGTTCCAAGACTTAAAGCCTACTGCCCAACGCCACCGACCGGTTCTGAGTTTGTTTAAAGGTGCATATTGCTTGTCCTGCTTTGCTTGTCGCTTTCCAATGCTCTGCCCAGGAAAACAACTGTCCAAGTCGGAAGAGTTGGGTGATTTGCAAGCCTGGACCTTGGCAGAGTCAAGTGTCAGCGGCCGCTGCCCGGACATGTCTAAAACACTTGCCCGTGTCTTGCTGGCATCGGCGGCTGGAACTGCGCAGAGCGAGCGTGACTTTGCAGATATCAAGTACCACACTGCACGCGACAGGGCTTTCTTAGGCCCTTACTTCAAGGCGTTCGAGAGGCGGCTTCGCCAGTGGGACAAGAACAGTCTTCGTGGTGCAGTTGCTATGCTTGCCCAAAAGATTTGGCAGGAAGGCTTCGGCTCTGAAAGATCATCTGGGTCCGCTCGCAAACCTAAGTTTGTTTCCGGTCTTCGACTAGAAGCAAGCCGGCAGGACGCTTGGCGGCACATAGCTTTTTTTAACTTGCCGGAGTTCGCTTTGCACACCTTGCCGGCCAAGGCACGAACAAGAAATCCTGTTTCGGAAGCCGCGTGGATAGCTCGACGCCGGAAGAGTGTGAAGCGATGCTTAAAGCTGAACGATGCCCCTCGGGACATGCTGCGGCTGAGCAAAAGTTCCCGCAAGGCAGCTGGAAATGCAATTTCCACCAAGCACGAGGAAGCGACCAAAAAGTTGTCGGAGCTGAAGAAAAGACGGTGCTTTCAAGCTCAGCAAGACGACCTGCTGCTGCGGCAAGAGCAGCTTCGTCCAGCAGAGCACAGCCAATGCTTGGAGCGTAGGAGGAAAGCTGACCACCAAGCTCAGCTCGAAAGCTCGCTGCGGAAACGCAGGCGGAGTCAGCCTGAACTTCCAGCTCTGGCCAATATGCGCCTTGGCGTTTGAATTTGCTTTTGCGCCTTTGTTCTTGCAAGTTTTCTTAGGCGATTGCTCGCGAAAGAGGAGGCAGACTCTACTGACTTGCACCAGAAACTCCACTCTTTGGGTGCCCTGGTGGTCAATGATTATCTCTTGGCTGAAGGCGTTGTGGTGAACAATGTCGCAAAACCTGGCTCTCGAGCTTCATGGCTAATGCGACTCTCTGGTGGTCTTATCGTAAGCCAAGCTGCGATCAAGACCGGGTTTGGGCCTTGGGTTAAATACAAAGGGCCAGCCAAGGGCACCCGAAGACATGTGCTCATTACGCCATCATTTCGCAAACGTCATCCGCGATTCGCTGTCTTGGCACAAACACGCATGCAAGAGCTCAACTGGAAAGTGTACGTGCGGGCCTTGGCTGGCTGTGGCACACTTGTCGTCCTGTCCGTGTCCCGTTTGCCTTGTTTGGAGCGGCGCGCCCCTGGTAACAGAACTGAGGACAAGGCTGCCACCTGGGTGAACGCAGCCAAAGCTGCCAAGACCAAGAAGAACTATGTGAGTGTAGGACTTGTGCAGGAAAAGTCCGTGCTGACATCCACAAAGATGTTCAACGCCCATACATTTGTACAGTGGGGAGCTCTTGGGGCAATAGAGCGATTCTGCCTGGGTCACAGCCGCCAATGACGAGCATTGGTCGCTGCACAGAATCTGCAGACTGGGGAAGAGGGCTGCCACTGCCTCGCGTCATAACAGAGAGAAACACGTCTATGCGATGGCTCGCTGTCTGATGACGGAAAGTGCTTCTTGAAGCGCTGGGAGTTAAACAGTGTACAAAGCCGTGGGGGGGTGGGGGGAACCTTGTCCCGGCTGATGCGCGGGTCCGGTCAGCCGAAAAATCCTCCATTTTGTGGGAGTTTTGTTTGAGCGCTTTCTGCCACGCAAGCCTGGTTTTTGGTGTTGCTCCCTGTGTCTGCCAAATGAACAATTCTGATGCATCAGAATTTTGGGCCCCTGCGAGTTCTGATGCACTAGATTTTGGGTCCCTGCGAGTTCTGATGCACTAGATTTTGGGCCCCTGCGAGTTCTGACGCACTAGATTTTTGAGTCTAAGTCGTTTATGCTTTTTCAAACGGGTCCTCGGGCTCTTTTGGGCCCGACAGCCCGAGTGCCGGGGGGTTCCGAACCCCCTGGCACTGCGAGTTCTGATGCATCAGAACTTGCAGTGCCGGGGGGTATGGAACCCCCTGGCACTGCGGCTCAAAATCGGGCTGACCTGCTATTTGTTTTGGGGGGTATGTGCAATTAAGCCCCAAGCCGAGACTACTACGTCTTGTTGTCTGTTGTCTGGTGTGCTCATGTGTTCTGTCTGCCCGTCAAGCCGTTTCACGCTTCGCCCCGCAGCCAGCTTTCCTCCAGTTGCTTCTTCAGCTGACTTGCTGCGTTGCCGCAGAAAGTCCGTGAAGCATGGGGAAGACATCCTTGAAGGTGAAGAAAACTGGCATCAAGAAGCCTCCTCGCGTGGAGAAGGTGGAGTCACATTGCCAGCGCAAGTGGCCAATCATGCTTGGGAGCGACTGCAGCGGCATGGGAACTGATGTTGTGGCAGCGAAGCAACTGGGGATTGAGTTCATGGTTCAGTTTGCCACCGATGTGGACCCAGATTGCCGAAAGGTGATTCTTTCCCACAAAAAGGGACCGAGGAGTCTTGGATATGCTCTTGGAAATGTTTGCGAGAAGTGTGACTTGTACACAGCTGGGTTTCCGTGCCAACCATACAGCAGACTGCCAGAACAAGTAGCTGTTTTCAACCGAGTTTGGGTTACTTTCTGTTTTTTTGCACATAGGTCTTTGCTTAGTCTGCTCCTTCCGAGGTACGGCGGGCGTCGGGCAGGGGAAATGCGACCAACGTGATTTATCAAAGGCTGTGGTGGACTACATCTGCCGCATGCAACCGCGTGGATTTGTGCTGGAGAATGTGACGGGCATCCGGAATAAGAAGCACAGGAAGCACTTCAACAAACTTCTGCAGCAGCTCAAGGAATGTCGGCTTCCTGGGTCGCAGAAGCGGGCCTATGCTGTGAGCTGGCGAATGGTGAACAGCCGCAGTTTCGGGCTTCCGCAGAACCGGAAGAGGATCTACATCATGGGCGCCAGGAGGTCCACGCGCAAGGGTGTGAAAACCAGAAAACCAAATATGGTCCACTCGCTGCCTGAAAGCAAGTTCGCTTGCCTGGACGACTTCTTGGAGAAGGGGCTTCCCAAGGTGGACATCAAGAAGCTTTGCAAAACCAAGCGGAACAACATTTTGGCAGGAAGGAAGAAGCTCAAGGCGAAGGGTGTTTGGAATCTGGACAGGGACATCATCGACGCAGGAGCCGGGAAAAACTTCCGGCAGGTCACCTCGGGCTATGTTCCCACAATCACATGTGCACGAGCCTCCGGCGACAACTTCTGGCTCGACAACGATTCTTGTCCAAACCAGATTTAGCGAGTGCAAATAATCAAGTGTGGCGAGTTGCGCAGCCCGCAGCCCGCTTACAGCCTGTGCTAAGGAAAGTCGCTTTCTCAGCCTCAAGGAGCTGGCGGCTTTGCAGGGATTCCACAACTTCCGCTGGCCCAAAAGTGTGTCCCGCGCCAAGAGAGGCAAAATGGTGGGCAACGCCATGTCGGTTCCTGTCCTGAGGGAGGCAATGAGGGCGGTGCTCACGGCAGCTAGGTTGATCCGCTGGGCCTAGTAACTGTGGAGCCACAGTTATTAAGACAAGAGCTGCTCCTGTTTAATTTGCTGGGACGATGGCCCTGCTTTGGGTTGGTGCTCCGCGACTGCAACAATTGACCGGGGTAAACAAAAAACGGAAGCGTTGCTGACGCGGATCAAATTCGACTTTTCACAGAGCGTGGCCCGTGCTTTCAGATTAAGGCTCATCCGCAGTTTTCAGATTAAGGATCATCCGCAGTGTTTTTTATTTGAGGCCCCCGGTGCCAGCTGCGTAACCGCAGCGAGGTGCAGACTGCTATGGTTCAATCAACATCCTCGGCAAGCTCAACCCCGGTGCAATGCCGGAACATAAGCGCTTCCCACTACGATGACGTGAGGAAGGCTTGGGAACTCATTGTGGGGCGCGGGCCTCAGTAATAGAGATGCCATCAGTCAGTACTGCGCTGCTGCTCAGGACGGATCTTTTCAGGGACCTTGAGTCAATGAAGCCCTTAACGATCGAGGAGGGCGGTCGTCAAGACCCCTTCGACAATCGCAAGTTGCAGTCCATGATGGAGGCCTTGAAGGAGGGAGATTCCACTACTGACCAGTACATTGCAGGCGGCAATGTAGCGTGGGTTAGCTGGTCATGGTCTTCGACTGCAAGTGTGCCAGTGTACAAGAGCAGCGTAAAGTGGATCATGCACACCACGTACAAGAAGCCCCAGCCTATAAATTTGGTGGTGGCAGTGGATGACTTGTTTATGGACCAGAAAAATGGGCAAATGAAGAGGATCAGTCCGGAGGAGGACCATCACGCCTTCATCTTGGCCACAGCGAGGGACTTGCAGCAAGACAAGTTCCAGGAGGCCGGCGCCGTCGCTGTCTTGGCCCCTAAATACATTACTAGCCAAGCATTGAGTTGCCAGCGCAGGAATGGAGAAGGGCGTGGCTGTCTTCCACGATCGATTGCCGCTTCAAGCCCGGGCTGAATTTGTTCTGGGAAGCGGCCAAGCAAAGGGAGGATGTTGGGACCAGCTACGAGACCATGTACTACAGCCCTGTGCAACGCATCTTTCAAATAGTGTCCTTCAAGTTGAATCACGAATCAGCTTCCAAGACCAAGCTGACGACTAAGAAGCTTTTCGAGATCTTGTCTGCCAACTTGACGGTGACATCGGGGGAGGCAGTGACGCAGTCCTTCCTCGAAGTCTTGATGGCTCTGTGGAATTCCTTGCTCAGCGACACTTCTTTCCGAGAGGACGTCCTGCTTTCTGAGGAGCTCTTCGGAAAGCGAAGTCCCATCAAGTCCATATATGTTTTGCGAGACCTTGCCACTGCTTGCAAGAAGCAACCGCCTTGCGTGAAGTGGGTGTTCGATGCCCTCATGGATGCGGCGTTGAACAAAATCTTCAAGCAAGGCGAGCTCAACCCCCAGGCGTTGGCCGGCAAGAACCCCCGTGGGAATAATTCCAAAGGGCCTGACTCCTAGCACTGCTGCTTTTTTCTTAGGTTTTGCCTTGATTGATGGGGGCGCACTGCTTCTGAGGCTGTTCCATATGTGGGCATGGAAGTATGTCCTGAAAGATGAGATCCTGGACATGCTGTTGGCTCACAAGAGCCTGCCATGTGAGGACGCAAAACGCATCCGGGAGAAACTCTCCACTCAGGAGACGTGGCGCAAGGCAATGGCTGGTGGCCTTCTCTTCTCGCGGGAGACGCTCGACAATATCCCTGACAATGAACTTGACCCTAGCATTTTGACTGCAATTGGTGATTCAAGTGTCGCCCATGACATTGTAATGATCTGGACATGGCGCCGAGGCAAATCCGTGAAAGTCGTGGCCAACAAATCGTGGCTGGGGGCGCTGCAGCCAGCCAGTCAAGAGGCTGCGGAATTTCTGGCAGATCTCATTTACACCAAGAAGTACGACGAGAAGGTGAAGAGCGTGTTGCACACCAACTTTGACGTGAATGCCCTTCTCGAGCGCGAGGTGCTCAAGCCCATCTGGGACAAGCTAACCAAGAAAGCCGACAAACGGCTGCGGCAACGCAGGCGGAGTCAGCGGACGAAGGTGCGTTGGATGACGCCGCCCTTGTGAAAGCCGCCATCCGCCTTTCAGAGCCCAATGAAGCCAAGGCAACTGAGGCTGTCCATGCAGTTGAAGCTCTGAAGACTGAAGACAAAGAGTTTCTGCTAGAAACTGAGACAACCGCCAAGGACCTTGTCAATTCCCTTTTGCAGGTCGCGGTGGCTGACCAAGAGATTGACAAACTCATCCTTGCTTTGTCGAAGGTGGAATTCCTAAAGACGCGAAGCCAGGAGGGTTCCCAACTTTTCATTTGGGACGTTGAGCAGGCAGGAGAGCATAAAACCGACGCTCGGAGGTCACCCCCTCCGTTTCAGAAAGAACACTTCGAGAAAGTGGTCAAGGGCGTGCTTTTTGCACGAAACATGCAATCCACTTTGACCTTTGACGACTCGGACGGGCCGCCTCCCCCAGACGCTTCGGATGTGTTGCCTAGCTTATTAGATAAACACAGGATGCGTGCGCCGTCCATGCGTTGCTCATCTTAGGTTCTTGTTCTTTGACGGAGGCCGGTCAGGCCTGCATTCTCATTGGAACAACCTGTTCAAGGGCATCGGCGTGACTAAGATGTGGAATTTAATCCACAGTGAGGCCTCGACAACTGCGAACAGGAAGGCCAGGAATCTGTCAGGGACGGCGATTGAGCGTGGGGCCAGGGCCTCAGCGTTTTAATGTGATTTCCTCGGAGGCACGGGGGCGGATAATGAGGTCAACGTGATTAACTTGGCAGAAAAGGTCTTGGTGACCACCACGGATGCGCAAAAGCTGCAAGCTATCACGGGAAGCCGGAAGAACCTACATTTTGAGGGGACCGTGTGTTCAGATGCTGCGCCTTGGATAAACCAAACAGTGCGCGGTTGTTTGGCGCGCTCAGCTTGCGCCCCTTGTTTGCGTGCGAGTTTCTGAGGTCTACGGGGTCCCCCGGCATGATTTGGCAGGGCTGACAAGGCTGGCACCTGTGTTCAAGCACGAGTTGCTTGGAAGCTTCCGCGTGGCTGGTGCACCGAACAACCAACAGCGAACAGATGGAAGTGCAAAGGACAACGTGGCAGGAGAACCGATCACTTGGAATCCAAGGCATTCGCACATGATCGAGGAATTGTTGCACCGGTATCGGCCACGGGCTGTCACACTCATGACAGCAGCAGAGCCTGCGACAGCCAGCGTGATTTTGACAAAAAGAATTCCAGTGACAGCAATTTGCTCCTTGGCTGCATCGCAGTTTGATGTCCTTTTGCTCGAGTTTGGTTCTGGTGTCCAAGAAGAGCACGCCAGGCTTCTCACAAAAGCACGCCAAGTGGTTCAAGGCCCAGGTCTGCACACAGCTCCTCGCGGCGATGACTGACCCTGCCAACGACAAGATTTTCAACGCAAAGCTGGGAAAACTTTTGCACCTTCCGCATGCGCAGAGCAGCAGCACCCCTGAGCCTTCCACGTCCACGGTGACAGGCAAGAAGCGAAAGTCGCGGGGAGGTGCCAATGCAAAGCCGAAGCCAAAGAAGGCTGCAAAGATGAAGGCGGCTCCGAAGAAGAAGTCGGAGAAGGATCTGATTGCAGAAGACGAAGAAGACGAAGAAATTGAAGATGAAGAGGACGTCGAGGAGGAGAATCTGAGTGAAGACTCTGTGGGCAGTGATGACTAAACAAACTGTGGTGCCACAGTTTGTGCATTCTTTTGTTTAGCCAGCGCATGACAATAATGATGATAGCGGGACATGTCTGTTGGCAGCGAAGCAATCACAGACCCAGGGCAGATTGCAGTTCGGAGCGCTGCGAGGAAAATGGGATGAACACGCTGCTGCAATTGTGAGTGTCCTGTCTTTTGAACTGACAGTGCACGGAGAACCATTTGCAGTCCACGACCTGTGCTCTTGAGCAGCTTGCGCAAACTGCTCATGAGCCCCTCAAGCCAGTAAGTAGCATTGCCATTCATGAGCGGCGGCATTGAAGAAGGCAACTTTTTCCCGAGCCTGAGGAAGAACGACAATTGCGATGAGCCTGACTCTGGCAACGAGGAGGCTCAGCCTTCCATCGAGCAGCTCTTCGGCGAGGCGGGGGGATGGGATGATTCTGATGAGCCGGAGGACGAGAACGAAGATATGAATGAAGAAGAAGAAGCAGAAGAAGAAGAAGACAAAGACGCAGGAGAAGATCCTCCATGTCCAGTAGCGAAGGCCAAAGCCAAGGCCAAAGCCAAGGCCAAGGCCGAAGCCAAGGCCAAGAAAGAGCCCAAAGCCAAGGCCAAGGTCAAAGCCAAGGCCAAAGCCAAGGCCAAAGGCAAGGCCACAGCCAAGGGCGCGTCAAAGAAAACCACAAAGTATGACAATACCCGAAAAGCTTTCTTTGACAACGCTGCCAAGAACGGCCTGGATAGTAATGCTGCCCGGAACGCCTGGCTTGAGAGCACAGAGAGGAAGAATGCGATAGCTTCAATGCCAAGTCCTGAGAGAAGGCAACGCAAATTTGTGAAACCTCCTCCCGCTGATGATGTAAACTAGACCTTGTGGCAATGTCTGCTGCGGGCGCGCAGCAGACCATGGCATGGCGTGATGGGCCAAGAAACAAAAGAGCAAGCATTGCGTGTTGGACCTTGCAAGTTGCGACTGTCCTTGAAAGTTGCCATGTTGTTGATTGATGTTATTGCCCTGCAGATGTTTTCGCTTCACATCTAGGCTACTGCGCGTCAGTCCCACTTCCGACAGACATTACTGTGCTACCACAGTAATTATGTCGTCATGGTTGGACAGCATGGGCCGTCAGGAGGCACGGTTTCAGCCAGGCGACCACGCTTGCTTGGTGACGTGGAAGTCCAGCTTCTTCCCGCTCTATCAGCTTCATGCGGAGATACTGGAACAGTTGGATCAAGCCATCGTGTTTCGCAAAGGGAGCCCCATCTGCATGGAGGAGTTCAAGGATCTGCGAGTGTTCATTCATGTGAACAGCGACGATTATCTGGAAAGACATTACACAGAGGAAGCTGCAGACTGGTGCAGTCACGAAACTCGCACTTCCTCAGTGCAGCAGTGGATCGAGCATCGGCCTTGGGTTCAGCTGGTGCCAGGGCCCGCGAAGAACCTGATATATGCCATCAACGAGTACAAGAGGAAGCATTATCAGTTGCGGTGTGTGGTGTATGACATTCAACGTGCCCCTTATGGTGGAGATTATGGGCCGATTGGCCATGCTTCCTGGGAGAAGCGCTTCATGATTTGGGGCTGGCAGGACGAGTTCGATCGCGTGCCTGACCTGGTTCAGTGGTCCCAGGACTATTCCTCGATACTTTGCCTGCCAATCAGTGACCCCGTGCCAAAACCACGGGTGATGCTGAAGGCCCTTTACAGACGAGACGTTGACATCATTCGCAGGTTCATGCCACTTTCTCTCTTTCCTGGCAACGCCATCTGGCATGCTGATGACATCGAGCAGATGACTGCAGTAAAGCATGAATCTGACGCAGAAGGAGAGGACGCTGACATGCAGGTTCAGGATTCGGAGTTTGTATTGGTCGACACCGCCGACCAGGTCCCTGGCACCAAGTTCGATCAAATTGGCCGTGTCCAAGTTGGACCCCTCATCAAGAACTCGCCATGGCACCAAGATCAGCGCGCAAATCAGCGTGCTGCCGCCAGCTGCGGAAACGCAGCTGGAACTTCAAAACCAGTCACTGTGTTCTCCTCTGAGTAGAGACTGAGACAGGCCCGCCGCCAGCCACAACGCACAGTGTTTTTGAGGCTGAAGTTGTGTGGCCTTGGATTGAAAAAAAATGCATCGAGCCACGGAGTGTGGTGTTCGCATGAGCACTGCTAGGCTTTGTTGTGGTGTGAGTGCACGGGCATTGCTGCTGCTTGTCGTCCTGCCCTTGACTTGCATCGCCGCAGTCATTAAGGCCCGAGTTTTGCCGAAGGTTTCCAAACATGTCGTCTGAACACGAGAGCACGGTGATTTTCGGCAATCGGGCTGACCTTCGCGCAGAGCGGAAACGCAAGCGTGATGAGTCGGGGGACTGGGACGAGCTTAGCCACCCAGACTTGCGGAGCATTCTGCAGCAGAAGGAGCGGCTTGGAAACATTTTGATGAAGTATTACCCCACGCTCCTCCATTTACCTGCGGATGCCATGCCTGAGACACCGCCTGTTGGCAACCATTCCTACACGGTCAAGCCTGCAGGATGCTGCAAGATTATGGTTAAGCTGGACAACTCAAGCTTTGTGGTGAAAGGCCTTGGACAATCACAGAAGTGTGGCTTCGGGATGAAGTTCTACGTGGGGAGTGCCGACGATTTGCCACTGAGTGAGCGAGTTATGCCAGGGCTTGTCGCAGTGGCTTGGGCAGAGGCCCAGGTCCTGGCAAGGAAGTGGCAGCAGAAGAAAGATTCCGAGCAACCTGATGTCTCGCCCAGCTGCGATGCAACAACTGAGCCATCCCCCGAGGATGCCTCTTCCGGAAGCCAAACAACACTGGCTTGGGAGCAGTTCAGCCCTGATCGACTTTGACTCCAGTACAGATTGGATCAGGTGTTCAAACAACTGCGCCCCCGCAGTTGGACGCCTTGCTGTTTTCCCAAACGGCGGTTTTTGCAAGCTGCAATTGCTGCTTGCTTCTTAGTAGCAACATGGTCGGGGAGACATGCAATTGACATGTCGCGGGGAAAGCTGAGAGTCTGAAAAGGAGCCCGCGTGAGTTTCAACAGCCACTGCGTGTTCATGTGTTTCTCAGACCTTCCACATCAGAAGGCCAGCCATGCCTGCCAGAGGCGCCAGAGCTCCTTTCGGCAATTGAATTGTTGAAGCCCCCCGAGGGTCACTCTGCGCAAAAGATGGGGGCAGGCGGGATTTGAACCCGCGACCTCCCTACCTAACCTGTGGCATCCACAGGTTAGTCCGGGCACGCTGCCATTGCGCCACTGTCCCCTGCTCCCTCTGTGGCAACTTCGGGGCCTGAACCCGGCCCAAACTTTGAACAAGTCTTCGGAGCCAACACGGAGAGTTTTTCCAGCTTGAAAACAATTTAGA